CACTGCGAATACTAAAAAAAAAAAAAAAAAGCAATTTAGAGTGCTGAGGAGAGTAACCAAATTTTAAAGGGTTGAAGTATAATTCAGATTAGAAAAAGTACACGCAATCTACAGCCGGCCCTCTATATCCATGGGTTCTGCATCTGTGGATTCAACCAATTGAAGATAGAAAATATTCAGGGGAAACAAAATGGTTGGGTCTGCATTGAACATGTGCAGATTTTTTTTGTCATTATTCCCTAAACAATAAACAATACAGTATAACAACATAGCATTTACATTGTGTTAGATATTATAAGTAACCTAGAAATGATTTAAAGAATATTAAGAGGATGTGTGTAGGTTATATGCAAATACTATTCCCTTTTATATCAGTGACTTGAGCATCCCAGCATCTGAGGATTTTGGTATCTGCAGGGGGTCTGGGAACCAACTGCCCTAGGATACAGACAATTGTATTTACTAAACAAGTTTGACAGAAGGGTAAAAAAGAATCGTTATTTTTGTGGACTGAAGCCATTGAGTTTTTTAAAAAAAGGAAAAGCGATTATATGGAAAAGAAAGTTCAAGGTCTCCAAGTCCTCAAAGAGAACTGAAAACTAAGAAAGGTTCTCAAATGTGGCCCACAGATCCCTGCTGGAAGTCCTAGAAACCCTTTCAGGGGGTGCTGATTTTCATGATATCACTAAGACGTTATTTGCACTTTTCATTATGTTGACACTGACGATAATGGTACAAAAGGAATGGTGGATTAAATTGCTGGTTTCTTAGCACACATCAAGGCAGTGACATAAAGCTGTACTAGTAATCATCCTACTCGAGAGCACTACTGTACCCTCACACACCCACAGAGCCAATTTAAGAATGTCCTTACTGATGCCGTAAAAACTACTAATTTTATTAAATCTTGACCTTGAATGCCATTTTTTAAAATTCTGTGGGACAAAATGAAAGCTACCCAAAGCATTTTTGCTACATAGCACGTGTAGTTTTTTTGAATTTCAAGCTGAACTAGCTGACTTTTTTTTTTAACAGGGTGCTGTTTTGCTTTGAAAAATTATCTATAAACTACAATTATTCAGACTTGGGTACCTGACATTTTTCTCAAAAATAAATTAAGTGAACTTGACACTTCAAGAAAAATAACTTGACAGTATTTTTTCCAGTGATAAAATTTCAAGTTTTCAAGCAATAATTTGGAAAACTTGTGTCCTCTGTTATTCTGATGAAATCAACGATAACAGTAACAAATGTGACTTTTGATATTGTATAATGAAATACATTAACATTTGGAAGGCTGTTGTAAACCAGAAGACCAATAATTTCCAAATGTCTGATGTTATGATGTTACAAAGTAATGTACAGGTAAAAGATCTATTCAGAGTATAAGACAGACCAATGGATTTCAATTTAACAGAGTATGTCATGTTCACTGATGTGGCTTCCGATTCCACATTGCAACTAGTCTCTCAAACACTACCACTTCTTGAGTTTTGGTATAATATCAAAGAAGAATATCCACAATTATCTGAAAAGGCTATTATAATACTTCTACCTTTCCCAATTACGTATGTGAGGCCAGATTATCTGCATATACTTCAACCAAAACAACATACTGCAACAGACTGAATAGAGAGGCAAATGTGAGAACCCACATTTGCTCTTCTAATGAGCTAAGCATTAAAAGTATCTGCAAAAATCAATGCCACAGGTCTCACTAGTTCTTTATTTTTCATACTGAAGTCCTTAATATTTAAGAGTCTATAAAATGGGGTCCTGAGTTCAAAAAACTTAAAAGCCACTGATGGAGGAGGAGAAATAAATCTTAGAGGGCTTTTAAATTAAAGACACAGGCAAAGAGGAAGTGAAAAGATGTTACTTATTGAGAGTGAGGAGCATGAAAGGGTAGAGAATTGAGGAAAATGTTAATTCTGAAAAGCCTAAGAAAAGCTCATAAAGAACTAAGGAGCACTGAGGATTTGGCTTAGGTTTAATGACTACATTTGTACTGGTGCTGTACACAATTTTCTCCAGCAATACACAGCAATCTGGGAGATCGATGAAAGTGGAGAACTGGAAATAGGTAAGGTGGATTAAACAAATTCAATAAGGACAAGTGATAATATTAAGACAAGTAAATTTAAGGATCAACGTAGGAACAAGAGATGAAGCCAAGAGGCCTTTGCTGTTTGCCCAGCTCTTCTCCTACAGGGAATAAGGAAAGGGCCCCTAGTGTTTTACCCAAGTGCAAAGGAAAATTAGGCTCTGCCACATTTTTGGTGTATGAAATAAATGTGAATTAGATTCTTGCCTTCCTTAAAGATTTTATTAATATAATACAATTTTCACGATCCATGGTGGGCCTTTTAGTTAGAACTGCATTACAATGAGTTGTTTTTGCATTTTGAACATTAAAACCCCATGGAGAGAATTCTATGAAGATATGCTTCCTGCCAAATGCTGTTTAATTCCAGTATACATGTTTAATGTGTTAATTGATAATGGACAAAGGCTATTAGCCTATTTCGGCTAAATGAAAATTAAATATTCTATCTTAAATCAGGACTATACTAAGTAGGCTTCTTCTTTTATAATAAGGCTTTACTTGAGTTTAAATTTCTCAGGACACAGAGTTACTTTTCTTGCCAAGTATGCTCATATTCAAATTATTCCCTGTTTTTAAAGCAAATCGCTTATTACGAAATGGCTGTTTTTTCTGATTAGATCTGAAATTTTCCATCTAAAGCATCTGATCCTAAAAACACAATTTTGTATCACATCCCACAGTACTACAAATCACAGAATTCTTTCTCAGTTTCACATTTTATAGCTCGTAACTAGTTTAAAGCTGAGCCATGAACCTCTTTGCAATTTTCCACTCTCTTATTTTTGTATTTCTTACTATACTTATATACATTATTCAAACCAGTGATTTGACTCTTACAAGTTACATGATCTTGGTTGAGTCAAATATCTGGACTGGACCTTAGATTCCCCCCAAAAGTGAGGATAACTACATTTGTCCTTAGCTATCTTTTAGGGTTGCTGTAAGGATTAAATAAGATTTTCAAAACTAAAAAGCATAAAATACAAATGTAACACATTTAGATACTTTGAAGTCTTTGAAAAAAAAACACATTATTTATTCAAAGTACCAAGAAATTAACTTTGTTGTATATGCTTACAAATTGTGGATTTTAAAAAAAAATGGTTGTTAGGCAAATTATGATTTAGGTGTGTTAGAGAAAGGAAAACATATACCTCAGGGAAATAAAAGGTTTCCAACAACAAAAGTCTCTAAAATGATATGATCCACAGTATTAGCCTCACTTTGGAAGAAAAATTAATGGTGGTAATATATCATTTTATTACTTTGGTAAAATGTTAAATCATGATATAGTATACCCAAACATACTTTTGAACATTAATCCAAATGTATTAACTCCTAATACATTTTATACATATATTTTAACTGATACCTCATTTTTCCTAAATTATTTGTTAAATCTGTTTTTTATAGTAAAAAAAAAAAAAAAAAAAACGGCCTATACTACACCACCCTCCAAAAAACACACTGCTACAAATAGCAAAATTGAATTTCTCTCTTTCTAATCAATCTTTAGGTGAAATAACAAAATATTTTAATGCTTTGAGGCATAAAAAAAGAGGAAAAAAATGGTTTCTGAGAGTTTATAATTTCAATTGGGCACTGGCAAACTACAGTCCTCATCTGCTTCTACCAAGAACGTTTTGGAACACAGCCACACCCATACTATATATGGCTGTTTTCTGCTGCAACAGCATAGATGAGTACTGAAATGCAGACAATAAAGAGCACTGGCCCTTTATAGAAGTTTGTCAACACTTACCTAGATAATCAATATTGAAAAGAAAATAAATTCCCAGTAAGTCAAAATGTTTTCATTTAATACTACTTCTGTTTGGTCTAGCTGATTCTCGCTTTATTTCTGCTGGGATGTGGTCAATCTCACCTCCTCCTACTATTTCCACTACTACCCTGGGACCAGCCACCTTTTCTCCCCTGGATTACTCCAATTGTTTCTTATCTGATTTTGTTGTCTCACTTAATCTACTACAGTCTATCCTCAAACACAGTAGCTAGATCAAACCTTTAAAAACATGTCAAATCATGTCTCTCCTCTGCTCCAAACCTTGCAATGACTCCCATTTCGCTCAGAATAAGAGCCAAAGTCCTCACGATGACCTAGAAAGCTTACACGATGAGGGCCATATTATTTCTTACATCATCTTTTATTACTCTCCCCTTCTCATTCCCTCTCCAAACTAACCTCCCTCCTGTTTCTTGAACAACAGGCCAGGCATATTTTGCATTAAGTTTTTTTATAATATAATGGCCATTCCTTCTGACTGGAAACACTCTTTCTACAGATGTCGGCATGACTAGCTCAGTGACTGCAAGTGTTTGCTCAAATCTCATCTTAAAACGAGGCCTACCCAGGCCATCCCACCCCAGAACTCCCTAATCCCTCACCTTATAACTATTTATTGTA